CCCGCCAAAACCGCAAAAACACGTTTTCCTACCAAAACCGCAAAAACCCGTTTTTCCGCCAAAACTCATTTTCCCGCAAAAACCGAAAACACGTTTTCCTGCCAAAACCACAAACACACATTTTTCTACCAAAACCGCAAAATTCCATTTTCCGCCAAAACGAGTTTTCCCGTAAAAACCGCAAAACGCGTTTTCCGCCAAAACGTGTTTTTTGCTAAAACCGCAAAAACGTGTTTTCCCGCCAAAACCGCAAAAATGTGTTTTTCTGCCAAAATCGCAAAAACACGTTTTTCCGTAAAAACGCGTTTTCCCTCAAAAACACATTTTCCACTAAAATCGCAAAAACGTGTTTCCCGGCTATAACCGCAAAAACGCATTTCCCACCAAAACATGTTTTCTTGCTAAAACCGCAAAACCCCGTTTTCTCTCGCAAAAAACGTTTTACCGACAAATCCGCAAAAAACGCATTTTAGCGTCAAAATTATAAAAGTTAATATATTTAAAATTAATATCATATATATGACTAAATCAAAACAAGAGTATTTTAGTAATTTTTTACCAAACTTATCTAGATGAAGAAGAAAAACAGAGAAACAAACATGAGTCCATCTAGATGATTCATCTAGATAGACCCATATGGATGGACAAACAAACAATCTCAAAAATGTGGATGGATCATCTAGATGATTCATCTAGATGGATTAGCTGGATGGAGATGATAGAGGGTGAAACAAACAACACCTTAATAAGACAGTCTCGTTTTGTACAGTGCAATAAGAAAGAAAAAAAAACATTTGCCTTTTCAAAAAGTCTTACTCCCTCCGTTTCAAAATATAAGTCATTCTAGACTTATTTTTTTGTCACAAATTAAGTGTCGTTTTAAAGTTTCGAGGCAAAATTTATTAGTTTTATATAATATTCTAATATTTTATTGGTTGAAAAGTGGTTAGGTGTATAGGTAATTGTGTTTTTATCTTGGAAATATGTAAAATTAAATATTTCCTTAATCTGTGTGTAAAAACCTAGAATGACAAATAAAGTGAAACGGAGGGAGTATTAGACTATTACAGTAAACTCGTAGAAAAGGAAATTCAACACTTGAATTACTTCAGTGATGTGTTGAATAACTCTTGAAAATGAAGTATATTAAATTACGTTGAATTTAGTTAACATATTGAATCAGGAAAAGAGAAAAGGGACAATAACATATGATGATTTATCATTGGCTATTAATATTTCCGTCTTATAAATAAATCACCTTTTTATATTTTATAAATGAATCATTGGCTATTAATATTTCCGTCTTATAAATAAATCACCTTTTTATATTTTATAAATGAAAATCTATTTCAGTTGATTTAGATAAAAAAAACATACTTTTCATAGTTTTAGTATCTTGTAATAAACTTTAGTTTGATTCATATAATAGTGAGACAAAGAGTTCGAATTAGATTCTTGCTCAAAATTTTATTAATATTCAACAAAAAATAATAATATATGATATATAAATAGTGAGATAGATTGTTACATCTTATTAAATAAAACGATTATGTGGTATAATAAAATCAATGTTGGATTATTAAGTGAAATAAAGAGAATAAAATGTAAAATATTAAAAATATTGAATATGTAATTTACAAAAAAAATTAGATAGTCTATGAAATATGATGACATCTTTCTAACACACATTTTCATTCAAATGACATCTTTCTCTCTCAGAACTAATATCTAATCTTAAATAATTGTATTTTATGTGTTCTATGCATATGAGAGTTTTTATTCAAAAGTTTAAAATGAAAATTTTTGGATTAAAAGTGTGTGTTTAAAGCTTTATTATATTTTTAAAATTTAAATATATGAAAATAAACTGAAACATTACTTTTAATGTCAAATATATTCAAGGTTTGATTCTCCAAAATTAGTCTTCTATTCAAACTACAGAGATCATAATTTGTTTTTAAAACATCTTAATTTTAATTAAAATATTGCTGTAATATTATGTGATAAAAGTTTAATATTTATTTTGTTAATTTAACATATTTATATTTTCACAAAACAAATTATATTCAACTTTTAACCGGTTTCACGTTGTTTTTGTTTTAGATTTCTGATGTTATATAATTGAAATAGTCAAAAACTTTTAAATAGTCCTGCATCAAAACCAGAACGGAAGAACTGAACCGGAACCGAACCGAAATATCCGAAATCGGAACCGAACCAAAATCCTTAAATATCCAAACGGTTCTTATATTTATATATCTGAAATAACCGAACCGGAATGAGAACCGAAAACCGAACGGGTACCCGAATATATAATAATATTAATTTTATATACATATACAATAACCAAATATATGATTTTACTTTCAAAATCTATTAGAAGTATCCAAAAATAGTTGAAAATAACTAGATAATTATAAAGTATCTGAACTACCTGAAAGTATACGGATAATTTTATCTAAATATCCAAAGTAATTTGAAATATCTGAAATTTGTATCTAAATCGTTCTAATTATTTAATATTTTATCCTAAATAACTGATAATTTACCCTAACTACCCAAACTCAAACCGGAACTAAATGAGAACCATATTTTTCTAGGTATTTTCTGATTTCTAGTTTTACTATCCGAACCGAACCGAACTCGAAACTATCTGTACCGAATCGAACCGAAAATAGGTCAAACAGTAAATAGATCCTCTAACTCCCTACCCGAATTACCCGAACCCAAAATATCCAAACCGAACCGAACCGATATCCAAAACGCCCAGGCCTAGGCGTAAAGCAAAAAATGAATATATGTTTGAGTATATCCGACCTGATTTGTTCATTTTTTTTCTGTTTTCCAATAGAAGAGAGAAACTTCAATATTTTTAATAAATTAGGAAAGTGACCGGCCAAGCTCGGATTTTTTTTCTGTTTATTAATTTTTCATTTATAATTTTAAAATATTGTTTTAATGTAAGGTGTGAGCACCATTTGAGTTTTTTTTTGTGTGCGTGTTATCTAATTTCTTTAGCTAAAATATATTTGTTTTTCTGTTGAGTTGATGAACTGTTGAATATTCCTGAATGTCTCTATCTTTCGCACTAGTCACTAAATATTTATGAATATATTTCTTTTTTTTTCTTTAGATATTAAGTTCTGTATCAAAGAAAAAAAATTAATTAGAGGGGGGGGGGGATTATTGGCAACACAATTCTCATCAACTTTGAAAATTTTAAGATTATATTGTTATTGGTTTATGACTTTTAGAAATCTAGTAAAATATTTTGTTAGTGGTTTAAGAATTTCCAAAATCCATTCAAGTCTATTGTTATTCAATTTTTTTTTTTATTATTAATTCTTTAATTCTAACCAAATCTATAGTGTTATTGTGAGAAGAATTCTCTACATTTTTATTCATAGACAAAACTTTCAAAATATCATGTATATCCATGAGATTTTCAAAATCCATCTGATAAAAATTTGAAAACAAAATAATTATTCTTACCAGATATCTAGTACACATTCAATTAAAATTATAATTCATTACATTTTATGTACTTATTTTTTAATGTATTAATTATATTTTTATCAATAACTAAAAATTAAAAATAATATATGAATTTCTAAACAAACATATAATATAGTTAAAGTTGTTGGTATAATATTCATTTTGTCATATTAACATAATTTTATTTGTATATTTATTGTATTATTTTTTAACAAACAAAAATATTTTGCAGAAAAAAATAAATAATCATGCTATTGGAAGAAAAATATTTCCGGAAAACTATAGAAAAATATAATCATATGTTCACTTACAAAAGGAAGGATAAAAAAGGAAACTATAAATTGATGTCAAAAAAAAAGAAAAAGAAAAATATAAATTCATGAAAATCTGTAACAATAAAAAAGTTTTGATCAAATTTTATAAAGGAACATATATGTATTGTCATACTCCAAATAACTTTTAAAATCTATCAACTTTTAAAATCTACAAATCTACACAAATTCAAGTGCCAGTTCCGCTGAAAATAGCGGGTTGTTGTTCTTTAGCAGAAATAATTTTCATCGCTCTAGCTTTGCATTTATTTTTGGACATATGAATTAGTTCAGCAACGTATCATTTCTGTTAAAAGAGAAGTGCAAAAGATCTAATGTAAGAAATCATATATGACCATTTGATTAATAAGTTTATATGATCAACTTAATCATTTACATTAATCAATAAAATTTTCTTAGTTAGAAGAGAAGTACAAAAAGTTTAATTTAAAAAATCATATATGATTATTTCATTAATAACTAATATCATCTGTTTGATGATTTATTAGTCAATGAAATATGTAACATTTCTAAAAAATTATTAATTGATAAATATATTAATAATAAGTTAATTTTAACTATAACTTTAAATTTTATTTGTAGTTATAGTAAAATCAGTAGAGAAAAAATCTTATTTAAAGTTTTAGATCAATTTTATAAATAATGCATTAGTTAGTTTCGAAATTATTAATATAATTTTACTATAAAGCATTGTTATTTAAAAAGAAAATTATAAAAATAAAATAAAAAATCTGTGATAAATTTTATAAATATAGCCGCTATCTATTTATTCTATTAAAATAGAATCACTACAATAATATACTATACAAACTTCATAGTGACATCATTTCATTAATTACATTAATATATAAAATATATGATATTTCTAGAAAATATAAATAATTCATAAGGATATCAATAAAAATAAATATATTTTTATTATAACAAATTCTAATGAAAAAATATCCAACAAAATCTTTAAAAAAATTCATATATTTTTTTTATAAAATATTTCATTAACTAATTTCATATTTAGTAAAAAACATTATTATAATTTGATTTTAATATTAAAAATAGTTGACATCATCTAAATCATGTTAAGCATAGTTGACGTCGTCTAAACTGATGTGTAAAATCAGAAAATTATGTATCTATACTATTAAAGCAGATGACTGATTCATACTATTAAAGCAGATGACTGCTTATGAATCTGTCCCTGAAGTTTTAAAAAATTACAACAATTGCATGTATTTTTTTGCCAGCAGTATTTGCAACCAATCAAAAGTCATTATTTTGCAATTACATTTAAGAGCATTTAATACAATTTACTTCTCAGCATTTATCAAAAGTTCGTTTCCTTTGCACCATATATTCTCAAAAAATCTTTCACGTTATTAATTATTTGAAAGCATTTATTAAATTAAACCTGAAAATAAAATAAAATTAAAATAACAAATGATTAAAACAACAAAATCACAATACAGGTCCGAATTATGTCAACTCCTTAAAAAATAGTTCCACTTAAAATAAAAACTAAATCACATAAACTAAATTTAATAAATTATAGAATTTTTTTTATGCACAAATGAAAATTTTAATACAGAGAGTACTGAAGATAGAAAAGATTTTATTTAAATTTAAAATAGTGTAAAATAAGTTTAACTTCGGGTTAAATAAATAAAATCATATTACGGGTTAGAATTATTTAGTCTTTAAAAATTTAGTCATATTTAAAATAACAGAAATAAGTAATATAAGTAAATTTAAGATAAATTTCATAAAAAGTTAAGAGTTAATATATATAATTTATCAAAAATCATAATTTTATTGCGTAAAATATTTTTTCTAACAAAAAAATATACCCGCCCTTTTTAAGGGCGGGTCAAAATCTAGTGCTTGATTAAATAGCATAGATTTAATGAATTAACACTGTCCAATTCATCATGCTATGAATAATCAAGTATGTTTAAAGCGGAAGTTATAGCCTATATTACTCTATTCAAATCATAAACTATATGATATGTATGGGTAAGAATTTGGGTTCGGCTCTGAAAATTCAGATATTGGTTTTTAGATGAAGATTAAAACTCTATCTAGATATTTATAAATTTTAATTTGGATTCAGTTTAGATAATCATGGGTTCGATTCAAATACGGGTGCTCATATAAATTATGTAAAAATATTTAAATCCAAATATATCTAAATATCTACAAATTTTAGTTTAGATTTGGTTTGGATTATTACGGGTTCAATTCAAATAAGGATACTCATTTAAATTATGTAACAATAAATAAAATCCAATTATATATATATTTTGTCAAATCAAGATTATGATCTATTGATATATGTTTAGTCCAACAAATTTGTAACTATTACTTCCATAATGATCGGAATTCACTAAATTATTTTGTAACCACCACTTTAATAACTTATATAACTGGTTTTTTTTTTTTTATTACAATTGTAACATGGTTTTTATTTACATTAGGCCAAAATTTACAAATATCATTTTTAATTGCATGAAATTTTTTTATGTGTAGTATTATGTGTAAACGTTATTTTTATTGTATATAAAATTAAATCATGAAAAAATAATTAAAACATATCATTTTATCTATTTAATTCCTATTTGATTACCAATCAAAATTTTAATTATACTTCTGTTTTTTATATAAAAAAAATAACTGTTTAGGAATAAAGTACAAAATTAACATGTAAAATGACTATGGCATAAATGTATAATTTTGCAACATCAGAAGTTCAATACACTTATCAAAACTACTTACTAATCATTAAAAAACATTTTACAAAAAAAATAGTTACAAAGAAAAAAACAAATATGATTATAAAGAAAAACATACATATGAAAATTAAATTTCTAAAATTAAATAAAAAAAAAATATATATCCGCCCTTTCAAGGGCGGGTTATAATCTAGTATTTAAAATAAAACAAAAGTTAGTTTATGTATTAAACGGGGATCCAAAATATTTTGTGTATTTTATTAGAAAATGAAAATAGTTCACGTATTTTAAGAAATTTTCTTTTCACAATTTAAATACGTGTTTAATGAAATTCTAACGTCATCAATACTCCCGTTAAATATAGTTAACACCGTCTAAAACGATGTGTAAAATCTTCAAATTTTAAGGTTTGTGTATTTAATAGGCAATGAAAATTAGTCTATATATTAAATGGGAATCCAAATAGTTTGTGTATCTTATCCAAATATAACTTGTGACATATATATATATATATATATATATGAATAATTGATAACGATGCAACAAGAAAGAGTTGGTATCAACAACACCAGTAATAACTCCTTTTTATAATATTTTTTTTTGTTAAAAAACTTCTTCTTTTGTCATCAGCATATCAATAATATATAATCTTATGTACACCAAGAAACGATAAACAATGAGAAACGAGAGAATAGCTGTTGTGGTTATGTGAATTAATTATGTAGCCTTTTTAAATCTTAGTAACATGTCTGATAGTTTGAAGTAAAATCATCTCCAGTTTCACTGATCTATTTATATCAATCTATAATAAATAAAAATTGTGTTACTTTATAGATAAAATAAAAGTTTTACTTTTACTTACTAAATCCACTCTAAAATAAAGTAGAAATAGCGTGAAACTTAGTTAACTTATAAATCTCTTCCATTTAAAATATGTTTTCAGTGTCTTTTACTCCTTTTAACGCCTAGACGTAAGACATTTTGAAGAACCTCGACATCTTGGTGCATTTTCATATAACTTCAAAGCCGACAAAGGTTTTCCAGAAAGACCAAAGTGATCGATATATATTTCTATGACAATTGACTATTCTTGCAAAGGAAAATTATTCTATCTATAATATTAAAGCTGAAGTACAAAAATAAAGTGTTTGGAAATATGAATAAGAAAATTTTAAAATTTTGATTGGAAACATGGATATCATACAAATTTAATGGGCTTATTTATTATACTAAAGATTACTGCGGCCCAAGGTACCATTATTTTTTTTTTAGGATTTTCTATCATTGATATTACTTTACTTCTAAAAATTATTTATATATATATGTATTCATGTTTTAAATGTATTTAGAATAAATCAAGAATAATATATATTTTATTTATATAATTTATATTGACTATTCTTATAAGTTTTTAACAGTGATATACTAGCCTTCCAATTCTTCATTAAAAAATTAAATTAAAAATTTGACTAAATTATTTAGTGAATATAACTTTACACCAAATTTAGTCAAAAAACTTTTTAAAATATTACTAAAATGTTTACGGGTCACAATATTTTAAGACGCCCCTGTTACACAATATAATAATGAAATACAATATTTAAATAATATACTATTACTTAGTAAAATTGGCATCATTAAATTATAATTTTGAAATGTTATATATACCATAAAAACAAAAACCCGCCCAGTCGGACGGGTTATGATCTAGTTTTTATTAAGGAAGAAGATTCAAGGATTGTAAAAAAGTACTCTTGGTTGGTCAAAAAAGTAACTGCATTAAATGAAAAACGAGTTAAATACTAATTCGTAAACTGCACGTTTGATTTATTCGTAATTTTGTGAACTACGAATCAACGGACGACAGTTCACAACGATCGGTTTCTTTTTATCTTTTATATAACTATTCAACAACATGATTTCTCAAGTCATTCTTCTAAGCAGACTCTCTCTCTGGAGTTTGGACTTTGGACTCAAGAAAATCTCTCACATGGCTTCTTCTTCTGTTATGGGACAAGTGAGTACGGTAGTGCAACCTCAAGTCTTCATAAACTTCCGCGGATCTGAGCTGCGGAGAAGCTTCATAGCGTTTCTCGAGCCTGCCATGAGAGAAGCAAATATAAACGTCTTCATAGACGAGCTAGAGCTTATGGGGACAGACCTACAAAACCTTTTGGTGAGGATCGAGGAATCAAAGGTCGCGTTGGCCATCTTCTCTAGGGATTACACCAGCTCGGTATGGTGTCTGGACGAGCTTGTCAAGATCAAGGAATGTAAGGATCGGGGCGGTCTTAAAGTAATTCCCATCTTCTACAAGCTGGAACCTTCAGTTGTGAAATATCTTCAAGGAAGCTTTGGCGATAATTTTAGGAATCTGAAGCGCAACCATCAACATGAGCCAGTGAAAACCCAAAAATGGGAGGAAGCTTTAACTTCCATTACTCAAACAATTGGGATGCGCTTGCCAGAACAAAGGTTTTTCTTTGGTCTTTGATAAGAACTATACATATCCTTTACGGTTTTTGGAGTTTTCTTATAAATAGTTCATTAGATTTTTTTTTTAATAAATAAATAGGTTATTAATTTGTTTCATTTAGTGTTGTCACTGATTAAAATTATTGAGCTTTTGTAGCTTTTCTCCGGGCTTACGGTAGGCTGCTTATGAATATTATTGAGATCTAAGCCAACCTATAAGAAGATTTAGTTTAGTTTGAAGATCTCTAACTAAATTAATATATAATCTTGCATATTTTCTAAATTTTGGGTGTATTTAATAAGTCTGAATTTATCCTTAGAAACTTTGTTTCAATAGCGATATGCAAATTCAATATTATTTTCGTCTCGATAAAATTTAGAAATCTATTAAATTATTTTATATTGTACAATTGTTAAAAAAAATTGATAATTTTTTGCAGGTTTCTATGAGATTTTTTTTAATTCATAATTGTTCTTCTTATTTTATATTACTTATGAATTATATTTAAACTTTTATCACATTTTCTATGAGATTGTGATATCTATGAGATTTTTATCACATTTTTAATATGTCACTGTATCATGTATATTTTTCTTACATTTGTTTTTTAATAGTTAACTTTTATTAAAAACATACTAATGATGTTAATTTTTTTTTATTTTAGTTAACTTTCATTTGTTTTATTCTTATATACTTTTTGTGACTTTTTTAGTTTTTGTTTCAGTTTAATATTGAATTTAGTTCACATACTTTATGTTTATATATTTTAAAACATAATTTTTCTTTTAAAAAATTAAGCGACAAAGAGCCTAATTAAACCGAACTGAATATAAATCAAACTGGACATAAACCACACCGAACCAGACTAAATAAGGTTTATTTCAATTGAAAAAAATATATTAAAATCGAACTAAACAAACCAAACCAAAAAAGTAACGATTTGCCCACCCCTACTGCATCCTAGAGATTTGCGCAAATCTTGTCTCAGCGTTGAAACTCTCACTTGTTCCACTAATCCCACATTTGAACTCAATAGATACTCTTGTCTCAGCGTTGAAACTCTCACTTGTTCCACTAATCCCACATTTGAACTCAATAGATACTCATGTCTCAGCATTATACTATATTTTTATACCCGCACAGGGTGCGGGTGAGTCACCTAGTATCATATAAGAGCATCACCATTAGCAAATATGGGGTGGCTAAGGGTTCGCCACGTGGCTTTTTCAAAAAAAAAAAATTTGTTTATTTAAAAAAATAATAATAGTTGGACCAATGGCGGGTCGCCACATATTATAGGACCCGCAGTATAGTAATGAACTGGGTTCATTATTATTTATTATTTTAATATATTTTTTTTTTGGAAAACGTGTAAATCCCATCTGAACTTTTGATAAGAGTGCTCTAACATACTAAGTTTGAGCTTAAAAGCTTTTTTTTTTCTTTATAAATAAACAAAAATGATAAACCTATTTTAGTGTTAACAAACATCTTGAAGCTACATCTAGATATATTAACATGAGAGCATGTAGCTATTACTTACCCTCAATTTTAGTGATTTACCTTCTGTGTTCTGAACTTTTATGTCAAGCTTAAGACCAATGTATTTTGTTATTTTTGTTCTGAACTATGACTTCAGTCACGACAACCTAGATGATCCATTGATTTATTGTGAATTGTATTGTATGACAGTGACAGGTCCGATAAAGAATTCATAAATTCAATCGTCAAGGAGGTTAAAAATTTACTGGCGAATATCCCCATTGTAGAAAAACCTCCAAGGGAAGTAACAAATCAGTCAAGAGGAATTTTCTTTGTCCCTGCAAGGAGACTTGAGATTGCTCATTCAGAGAAGCCTGAAAACTGGACATGGAGTTCTATCCACGATGAGCGAAGGTAGTATTTAAAAACTTTTCTTTGAGTAGTTTTTTTTCCCCCTCAAGGTATTAAACTATATTTACTAAAAACTAGACCTGATTATGTTTAAAGCGAAGCAGACATTGAAGTAGCGACGCTGATTACGGTGTACTGGCTACATATAACCGGAAATTTTCACACAAGGAAGCTAACACCGGGGACAAAGTACGAGGTAGTGTTCATTTTGAACTTAGATGATACAGCATCCGGATGGGAAGAGCCAGTAACCCTAACGCTGAAGCTGGAACATCGCGGTGGAAGCCATAGTATACAAGAGCGTACTCTGTGTTTAGATGACTGCATTGGCGATGGCAATAATTGTTTAGATATTCAAGTTGGAGAGTTTGAGGCACCGCCAAAGAGTGCGGCCGCGAAGATCTTCTTTTCTTTGCATCAATACGTGGACACTGATCGGAAGGATGGTCTCGTGGTAAAAGGTGTTGCAATACGCCCCACGGCTATGGACCACGTCACTATATGAATGGAGAATCATACTTATCTTAGTTTTAATATCTGATTTAGTTTTTTTCTTTTTTTTGAAACGTGGTTTATGTCGCCTACTTTATTGGTTAGCTACTTTATTGTTTGGTTTTATCCATTACTTATTCATAATTTAGTTTCTTGAGAATAAAGGTTGGCTTTGTGAGATTAAATAATCGTGCAAAGTGATTCAAATCTTGTAAAAAAGTTTCAAAGTGTCAGACATAAATACTTTAGATTTGGTTTTCAAGAAGATTGAGTGTCAAAACTCACAAGTTGCGTCGAAATTTTCAAAAACCGAACTGCAGTTGTATCATGAATTCTGATGTTTTCGGACAAATGTCCGTTTATCATATGATTCATAATCGAATTCAAAAGTCCATAATTATGAAGCTTTTGAATGCATCTTTTATTTAGGTGGCGCAAATGACAATATTTGATTCGTGTATTTAAATTTGTTTTTAATCAAAAATAATTTTTTTATAAATCCAAATAAAGAATTGAAATAATATTCTTATTTATAGTAGGTTCAGTAGTGATTCTTAAATCCTAAAATCGAACCTGAAGATAAAGACAATGAAATATTCTCATGGCTAATGCAACAACTTTTGTTTCATTTCCTACACATAGGTAGAATTTACTAAGTGCATCAGGCACGAGCTGATTATTGAGAATGTGTGGAGCATTGAATGCTCCAAAAATTAAAGTATTCATTAGGAAAGTTTTAGAAGGACCCTTTAGTTACAGTTACATAACATCTAACGAGAAGAGGCTGAAATCTTATGATGGATGTGGATTATAGCTTCAGATGACGAAAATAGAACATATACCAAAAAAAATTAAACTTGTTACTTCCTGTTTTGAAGTAGTGAAGATCGGAAAAAAAAATTTTAATGGGCACTGGATAGCGTGCAGAACTTACATCTAACTGAATAATCTTAAGACTTGAACATATAAGATCATCTTCCACATAGTTAAATAATCCAAATAGAACAAAGTAGATCAAACCAAATTAAATAGATGAATTCCACTAGAATGTTGAATAAAAACAATTTTCACAACTCATAAGAAGCTGCATGTCAATCGACTAGAATCTGACATCTTGGAGAAACCCTTTTGGCTGTAATAAACTTCTTCAATAAGCTCTCTTTGTGTCTAATAGAAAGATCCTTACAACTTACACTCAGTGCCTTGAGTACTGCTGATTTCTTAAGAAAGTATTTAACTGCTTCAATCCCAGTTCCCTCTCGAGTCAATTTGTTAATCTTAACATACTCTAGAGTCAATGATAAACACCGAGGAACCTCACTTAAGACAATTTTCTTTGGCTTCCATGAAACAGGAACGTCCTGCAAGAACATAAATCAAAACACAACACCATTAAATCAAATTTTTAACAGATCTTAGGCATAAATGAAAAAGGCTTACCATGGTAAGATATTCAAGAGAAGGAGAGGCTAAGAGGAGCCTCTGCATGATCAAAAGACCATCACCCTCATAAAATATATTTTCAAGATGCATGGTCTTGAGACTAGGTAGAGAAATATCAAATTTTGGATCCTCAAGCCCTACGTTTACGAGCTTTAAAGACACCAACGTCTCGCTCACATACATATACTTAGGCATGAAATCTACAGTCTTTACCTCAGACATTTCCTTCTCAACTTCTAGATGTTGAACTTGGCGATGAACCACTTCGTTTATCCACTCCATGACTCTCTGGGTACAAACATCGCTCCTTTTTTGATACTTTATCTTGAATTTTTGTATAAAAGATCCGCGGTTGAAATTTAGAAACATGTCCATCAAACGCGGTAAGGCTTTTACGTCATAAGCGAAGTCATTGGCGTTTATGTCCAATTCTGTAACATGTAGCCACGTAAATTCCCAGCTCTTTGACAAGACACTTGTCTTAGCACAATCTTTGGTAGGTAGGTGTGAGAGTATTTGAGCTAGCAAATAATCCGGCAAATGGCTGATTCTGTCGCAACCCATCGATCCTTGACTAGATCATGCATCAAAATACATATAAAACTAGGGTACAAGCTTTGATATCGAAGGAGGAGTTATACCAAAACAATATATCAAGAGACAAATTGGATCTGGAGAACTAACCGCCGATTTGAACCGCTGGAGATATCGTTATCGTATAGGTATTGAGTTTCTTAAAGCTAGGTTAAGTCGATGAAAGGTTGAAACATAAAGCTACGAGACAAAAGTTAGGGTTTTATTTAGGAAAATGTTTATGGTAACTTTTGGATGGTGTGTGGGCTTCTTTCGGCCCAAAAAGGCTATAGATTAAGGATAACAAGAACTAAACCGAGTTTCTCATTATTCACAGCAAACTTTATGTGAACTTAAGTGACAACTATGAGAACATCATTTTTTTTACAAATATTTATTAATTTATATTTTATTCATTCACAAATTAGTGTAATAAATGATTATTTATTTTTGCAAAAATTTCAAATTAAACATCAAATTAATTATAAATGGCAATATTCATATATGTTAAAAATATTTTAGCAAATATATTTATACAAATATTTTTACTTGATACATATTTACTTATAATTTTTCATATCTAAATTTGCAAAATTTATGATAGTAAATATATTTTCATGATAATAATATAATACACAGAAAATTATCTTATTTCCAAAATATAATACTATTAGTATAAATTATTTTTAATTATATACTAATATATATATATATACATATGTATATATAAATATTAAAATATGATAAATAAGAAAATTTATTTTATTTTCTAAAACATAGAATATTATTAATAACATCTATTTTAATTTTATAATAAATTATATATAAATTAATAAAAATATGATAAATAAATAAAATTACCTAAAATCATGAAGAAATTGATAAATCAGTTAATTTAGTTCTCAAATAAAAGTATACAAGATTTTAACTCGCACATCCGTGCAGAAATTTTTCATTTCATAAATATATTTAATATTATTACAAATTTTTAAATATATAATTTTCATTTTAGTATTGTATATGTGTAACTCTATAATATTATTATTTATATTTCTTTTCGGTATTATTAATATACAGTGATTTTTGTAATACATTTTAGTTTTTTATTAATATTTACTTAATAATATAGTTTCGAGTTAGGTATAAGAAAATAATAATATAGATAAACAAATAGATAAACCTCTTTCAAATTATGTTTTTCTTTAATTTATAAACTTAGCTATAGTAAATTTTTAAATTTAATTATTTATATTATAGAAAAGTAATATCTTTAAGATAATTTATATTTACATGTTGTGTTTAAAAAATACATATATTAAAATATATGATTTTACTACTTTACGGGATTTATTAAATTTATAAGTAAAAATCAATTTTTTTGTTTAAATAATATAGACCTATTGTTTTAGTAATTTTTATACATTGTAGCAACTATCACATTATTTTAATAATTTTATTGATATAGGATATTTGAGATCATATTAAGTTTTATCTTTATTGTTGGTAAGATTTCAAAATGTTAGCTTGTTTTAATTTTTACAATATATATAGTTTGTTTTTTCGTGGTGCAATTTTCTATATTTATCTTTTGTACAATTTGAAATATTATCATTTTGAGTTTGAATATTTATTTTCAAATTTTTATAATTTGTTAATAAAACTTTGAAAAATTACACTACTATTTTGAGTTTGGAATATTACATAAATTTTGAATTTTTTTTGTTAGTACATTAATAAATTATTTAATTTTTTTTTGAATATTTGGTAAGATTTTCTAAGTTTTTCTCAACAGATTTTGTTATAATTAAAAAAACATATAATTAAAATTTGATTTGTCATTAATATTTTAAATAAATTACTAAAATTGCATAGTTTTCTAATAAAATATTTTTAAATAGTATATGAACTAAAGGTTATTATATAATATAGTTTTTTGTATATAAATATTTTAAACAACATATTGTTGAGAGTTTCAAAATAAATAAAAATATAATATATTGTTGCAGATATAAAAGTTTAACCTAAGTTAATAAATTTATTTTTGTATAAAGTATTATATAGTTTACAAATTTTAAGATATTTTAATGATGAGTGATAATTTATTTAAATGAAAACAAAATTAATAAAAAATTTAATTTACCTATTTATTATAATTTTTTATATTTAATTCACATAGCACTTCTATTTTTATATAATACACAATATAATTATAGAATTTGTAAAAGATTGTATAAAATTTTTTTTCTTGTTTTATAAGAAAAGATTAGTTGACATTAATTTATAACAATTTATATCACTAATTACGAAGTTAATTAATATCATTTTATAAAAATATTTAAAATTTTAAGTAAGATTTGGTTAGATTCTTTCTCAACAATTTTTGTTATAATTAAAAAATAAAATTCAAATTTATAGTTGGTTTATTATTAATGTAAATAATCAAATATGTCATATTAACTAATATTTTAAATGGTCCTACTATGAATTGTTAATGGTAGATAAAAATTAGGACCCTAAATTAATAGATTAGATATATAGATCTCACTCCAACAATTAAGTATACCATTATTGCATAATTGCATTGTTTACTGAATGAAACCAAATATACAACATAATAACAGTGAAACACCCCAAGGTGAAGAATCAAAAACAGAATGATTATCAGTCTGAAAAAGAACAGAACATACTATATACTTAGGAAGAGTAAGAGTGCGATTTACTCCAGTCAGTACTATATAATAAGATTCAGACCAGACTCTTAAATGCAGATTATAACTTTAATCACTTGTTTCTAGAAAGAGGTTGTTCTGCAAAGTGTAAGTGAAGACAGCAGCTTCCAGTTGTTCTTTCCCATCACGCTCTTGTCGTTCAAATCCTAATAAACCTTACTTACGAAATGCAGTTTTCATGAGAACTGAACATCCCCTCCTCAATGACAAATGCTCACGTGCCCCCACCAGCATCATCAGCTGATGAAAACTTGACATATGCGAGAACGCTTTGTAGATGTAAGAAGCTCCTTGTAGATATCTAAATCCTCGTCGGCCATAGGAGAATCTGCGAAACTCACAGAAAGTTTCTTGAGCACTGCTGCATTCTCAAGAAAGTAATTCACTAGTTTTATCCCAGTTTCCTCCCTCATAATCACTTTGTTAATCTCAACACACTCCAAAGTCGATGCCAGACAACGAGGCACATCGGTAAAACTAATCTGCTCTGACTCCGTTGAAACAGAAATGTCCTGCAAACAACAAAAGATGAGTTCACCATAGTTCCACTCACAATGTCCGTTAGCCATATCAATTCTTACCAAGACTAGATTTTTCAGATTTGGGCAGCTCTCAAGAAAGGCTGGCAACAACTGCAACGAAGTGGTCGAAAACCCAGCTTGCAAATAACATAACTTTTGAAATTCAGCAACCGGTACCAGTTTGGAATAACGATACAGAATCTGCAAGAAAGAATGTCAAAATCATTTCATAAAAGATTAAACAATCATCAAAAACGATAAATACCTCTAGAGTAGGCTCAGAGATAATCATCTGTCTTACACTACAAACCCCAATAAGAAAATCACGAATAGTATCACTCTTCATAAAATCCACACTTCCCCCAAACTTCACATTAAACACACTATCAACATCAATCTTCACCAACGAACTCAAACTCTTCACCACAATCCTATCAGACTTACTATCTTTAAAACTCAAATACTCGAGCCCCGGCGCATCAATCTCAACCTCATACTCATCCCCACCACCACCACCACCACCAAACACTAACCGAAACATCTTCAAACTCAGAGACACAACACGAAGCCTCTCCACAAAATCATCACACTTCCTCACCAAATCAAGATCCTCAAGAACAGGACAACCAGAGATAAGCTTCTCCACACTCAACCCACCTTCTTCTTCACCGTAACAAACATTCTCCAAACGCATCATCTTAACACAAGGCAACGAAACAACATCAAGATTCCTAACCCTAACGTGCCTAAGCGTCAACGACACCAACGTCTTACTCCTGTAAACACTCTTGGGCGTGAAATCGAGGACGTACATCGGATTCCGAATCTCGACGACGAGATTTTGGATCCCGCGGAGATCGACGGCGGTGGTGATCCAGTCGCTGATCGGGAAGAGGTTGACGTTGCATTCGTCGTAGTTGATGATGAGGTTTTGGAGGGGTGATTCGAAGTTGTGGTCGAGGAAGGAGTCGATGAAGGAAGCGAAGAGTTTCTTGTAAGGTGGGGTGATGTGTTTGTCGTTTAGGTCGAGTGATGAGACGGTGGGCCAGAGAGACTCCCATCTCTTTGAGAGGGCGCTTGTTTTGACGGAATCGATGATTGGGAGGTGGGAGAGGATTTTAGTTAGTAACGGATCTGGTAGTTCGCTGATTCTGTCGGAAGTCATGGCTAGAGAATGGTGAAGGGAGAGTTTTTTCTTTTTTTTCAGTTTTGATTAAGAATCAGTTTCTGTAAGAGTAGAAATCGAAGGTTGATTGATTTGAGGGCGGGATATCGCCGGAGATTTGGCTTTAGGGATAGAGTTTGGGAAAGTAAGTTTTGGTTTTAATTTCCAGAAGACAAACCTTTTTTCAGCTTTTCGTTTATTCCATGATCAATTTCTTAGCTGACCAATTCTTCATATTATTATTTTGAAAAAGGCATATACCAGTTCTTCATATTTTGTTAAATAAATATAACTATGTTAATCATGTATACCTCCTCTATGATGATATTAACAAAAAAATTATGGGGATGAATAATTGGATTCTATGTGTAGAGTTAAATATTAACAAAAAAAGGATTCTATGAATAATTGGATTCTTCATATTTTGTTAAATAAATATAAGTATGTTAATCATGTATACTAGGGATGATGATTGGATTCTATGTGTAGAGATTTCTTTATAAGATTTAGCGAGTATTTTTTACAGTTGTACAGTCCTTCAAAATTATAAACATTATTTATTTATAATTAATATTATAATAAAAGTAGGTTTGCGCGTTTTGGGTATCGGTTCGGTTCAGTTCAAGTATTTCGGATAGTTTGGGTAGGAGGTTAGAGGATCAAATTACTACTTGACCTATTTTCGATTCTGTTCGGATAGTTTCGGGTTCGGTTTGGTTCAGATAGTAAAACTAGGAATCAGAAAATACCTAGAAAATTTGGTTCTTATTTAATTCCGGTTCGGATTCGGGTAGTTAGGGTAAATTATTAGTTATTTAAGATAAAATATTAAATAATTAGAACGAGTTAAATACAAATTTCAGATATTTCAGATTACTTTGGATATTTGAAGTATACTATCGGATAGTTCGAATACTTTATAATTATTTAGTTATCTTTAACTATTTTGGATACTTCTAATAGATTTTTAAAATTAAAATCATATATTTGGTTATGTTATATGTATATAAAATTAATATTATTATATATTCGGGTACCCGTTCGGTTCTCGGTTCGATTCCGGTTCGGTTCGGTTATTTCGAATATATAAATATAAAAACCGTTCGGATATTTAAGGCTTTCGGTTCGGTTCTTCGGTTCCGGATTTGTTGCCTAGGCCTAATAAAAGGGTTTGGAAGTTTCTCATACCTTTAACAATCACAACTCTTTCGTGATAGGTTTATGAATTCAAGTCAAAGCTTTTTATACTTGAAAATATTACCTAATTGTGAATCACATATTTAATTATTCATGCTGGATAAATAAGAATATAGTGGAAAGAAAACAAAATCACAAACTACAAACAGAAAAATAACCTTTAAATAATGTCAAACATTACATAGATAATTACACAATATTTAATAATATAAATTTAAATATAATGTAAATAATAAAAATCAAATACAATTTTGACGTTGAAACCATTAAACTTCGAAGCAACAAATTTAACCTTTTGGTGATTCAATACATGATTTAAAGTCATTTTATCTAATTAAAAAATTACATTTTCAGGTTTTCTACATAATAAATTATGCTAAAAGGTCTAAGATGTTGTAGAAAAACTTAATTAATTTTAATAAAATAATGCTGCAAAAAATACTGGTAATTTTAATAAGTCACCCAAGTGCGAGCATTGTCTTTCGACAAGGTTCACTTTATAAGTGATTGTAAGACTATAGTGGATGAGTTGCTTCAGTATATCACAAGAGCAACTATCAGGAAGGTCCGTAACGCGTAGAGCATCTCCATGATACATGACATTGCATCACCTGCGAAGGACAATGGTTTTACTTTCTGTTATATGCCTAGGAATATATTATAGCTAGTAACTGAATTTGCCAAAAAGGCTAGATGTAATAATCAAAATTGTGTAATAGCTTGGTTTTAATATAAATATAAAAGGGTTGACAAAAAAAAAAATATATATATATATATATACACACATCATTTTCATCAACATTTTAACAAAATAATCATTTTAAGTTTTCTAACTCTCAATAATGTGTATACATATCTATCAATCTTGATTTTAAGAAAAAATCATGGCGTGATGAAAATAGAAACATATAATACTCTTCTAATGATAAGTAACTCAATTTCATAATATAAATTAACTAAACAATCATCAAGAAAAGTTATAAGTTCTTTGTAGACTATCCAATTTTGGTTTACACAATAAATTATGTCAAAATGTCTTAACATGTTTTAGAAAAACTTAATTTGTTTGAAGAAAATAATGCCTCTAAATATATCTAATATATATACATCATTTTCATATGCATTTTAACCAATAAAAATTTAAAAGTTTTTACAATCTTAAGACATAATACATTTTTATCAGTCTTGATTGTAAACATAATTAATGGCATGTATATGTAATACTTTTCTAATAATACGTAACACAGTTTCATTGTTTGAATTAATCAAAAAGTAACCACGAAATCTTATAAGTTCTTTGTATACTAACCAATCTTGGTAATAACCACCAGAATGTTCACAAAATAATCTTCATTTGCATTGTATTAAGGTTGTCTTTGTATAACATCTATTATGTCACTGTGAACTCTAATAATATCGATCTATAGGTTTGATATGATATTGTGGGTTCGAATAAACATTTACAATTCCATATATTTATGATTAAATGTAGAGCCTTGTATTAATTCACTTTCAGCAATAATATTATACATTCCAGTCTATAACACAGTGCATGTTTTAATATATCATAACCTTTTTATTTATCTCTCTTAAGAGAAAAATCATTTATAGGAGATAAAAATAACCTAAACATTATTACTATGAACGCAATACGCCAAATGTTGGTATGTTTAAGAAGAGTATTGTTATTGTATGAAAGCTTGAATACATTGCATTTTTTTAAAGATGATTTTTTAGAGACTTTCAACACCATATTCCCGTTGTCTAGAAGTTCTACAGACAACGGTGCTGCTGCGTTACTTATTAGATTTTTCTTTTTGATGTGGTAGTCATATTCATTAAGGAAGTATAAATTTAAATTTTAGATAAAAAAATATATTCGATAATTTTTTTATTCATTTAGAGATGTAATTGTGAACTTAGAAAACATATTAAGAGAAATTAAAATAGTGTTAATTGGTCTTTTAGATTGATCACTAACAACCATTACTTTTGAAGATATTTGACTATGAAAACGATTAGGAGTTAAATTAATTTAATGTCATTGAACAGTGAGATAAATGGATAAGTGAATAATAATATTGAAATGTACGAATACTTAAACAACCGATTGAATTAGTAAAGTCCATGAATGGGCTTCATCAACATTTGTTCTCAAAATAGTCTTTCGTGATCTTCAACTTCTGGAAATGATTTATAATCAATATCAACATTTATAAATCATGAGTAGGATGTTTTAACAATATAATAAAGTAAAATATCATATTTTGTATTTGTGTTGAATCATTCGTAACAATATATGGAGTTATATAAATTAGTATTTTTTTATATTTCAATAACATCGCGTATCATTGAAGCTATTTGAATGTGTAAGGAACCAGATGTTGAGGAGTTTAATGTGTATAAGATAAGTGAACTTTAACACTAGAATATATATATATATATATATATATATATATATATATATATATATATATATATATAAATTATAAACAACCAGTTAAATTTGTAATGTCAATGAATGAGCTCATTTCATCAACATTTTTTCAACTATCAATCTTCTACGTGAGGAAGTATTTACAATTAAATTTATATTTCTAAATTTTCATTAAATAATGTTTACAAATAAATATAACAATGAAAGTAACTTATTACATTGAAAGTAACTTATTACATATCTTTAGTGGTAGAAAATCATTAGTAATGGATGAAAGAGAATGTGAATTTGTCCTTGACATATTAGATTTTATGCAAACATAGGTAATGTTAAAATGATTAAATATATAATGGAATAGTTAAGTTTATCTTCTTCATGTAATTTTAAAGTTATATATTTTAGAAATGAGATAAATTCATCTCCAGTGGTATATTTTGATAGCCTTCCGCTTAAAATATTATATAAAAACGGTGATGGCATGTTAAAAAATATATCATCAAAAATATGAAATATATATATCAAACTTAATTGGTCATCTTGTAGATCAAGATGGTTGTAAAAAGTTAGAACTACTTTTCTTTCCACTTGTAAAAAGACTGATAAAATTATAATCTATCTATATCCGACGGTAAACATCATAAATATCTTTTTCTTATTCAATATATCATGATGTGATTCATAGAGGGAGAAATTTACTTTTTCAGCTTTTGAAAATGTTTGGAGACTTTTCACTGATAGAAGATTCACCGCCATCATCCAAAGTTATGAAGATCAATTCTGAATAGATCATAAAACAAAATAGTAAATAAAGAATTTGTAGATTATAGTACATAAAGTAACTTAGTATATAGATCTTTAAATTATGGTAAGAGTTTGAGAAGTTTATGAAAATGATTGTATAATTTATAATGAAGATTTTATAACTGAAAAATATATAAAAAAAATAAAGATTTACATTTTTTTCAAAAGTCATTTATCAAATTGTAACCAATTATTTATTCTTATATTAGTAATTATAACCAAACATTGTGATTCATTTCAAAAGAATTAATATAACCCAATATATCAAAATATGAATAACCAAACCAACCAAATCAACCAATTATTATGATTTAGTTTATATATATGTGTGTGTGTGTGTGTGTATGTATTTTCAAATTATTACAAGTTATGTTTATTAATACACTCTGATTTGATATTTTTATTTCTTATTTTTTCTAAACAACAAATATCAAACTATATAAAGTTTACAATATAGATTTATAAATATAAGAAAATGAACTACTTAAAGTGAAAAAAAGATTTTCGTTTTAACTATAAAAGATTTACTGTAGAATTTTTAATGTGAAATTTTGATGTATTTATAGCTAATGTAGTTGTAATTTTATTATATAAAATTTGGTTCTTCAAAGTTACTAATTAACAAGTTATTATATAATTATTTAGACAATGACAAAAATGAATTTTGTTAAAAAACTAATTTAGAAATATTATGTAATAGTAATTTTCCATTTTTAAATCCTAAATAAAAGATTTTTAGAAAACAAATATTGGATAATAATTTTCCTTTTAATATTATCACATAAATTAAAATATCTTATGATTACAAATATATATACTAAGATCGTAAAAATAATTTCAAAGATATTAATTTTAAAAATTGTGCAAAATTGAAAAAAAAAATTAAACGTTTTTAATTGTAGGTTTACTTTTACAAATCCTAAAGAAAAAGATTTAAAATAATAAAAAGAAATTTTGAAAATAATAAATATGGTTTAAGAGTAAAAAATAAAGTAAAGAGTATTTAATTGTAGTTTTCATTTTTTACAAACCCTAAACAAAAAACTATTCGTAAAATAATTTATTTATTACCAATTTGCATTTTCTAAAATCTTAAAAAGATTATGTGATAGTAATTCCCTTTATATATGTTAAAATATATCATGATTAACAAAATCTATATACGAAGATGATGAAAATGATTTTTACTACTAAAAGTAATTTCAAAAAAAAAATTAATAGCAATTTATCTAAGTCATGTTCTTTTAAAAAGTTTTGAACAAAACAAAATTTGCAAAATAATTTATTGGATACTAATTTTCCTTTTCAAAAATCCCAAAGAAAAAGTATTTCAAAAATATTTTATAGTAATTGTCTGTTCTAAAATCTTAAACATAAGAAAATTATGATTGAATGTTTAATAGTCATTTTACATTTGTCAAATCTTAAACAAAAAAAATTCGTAAAATAATTATTTCAAATATTATTTATGTTATTTTCTTCTTAAACAGATGATGATTTTTAATATATATACTAAGATAATAAACCAAATTTTGAAAAATATTAATTTTTAAAATTGTGTAAAAGTAAAAAGAAAAGAAGTTAGAGGTGTTTAATTGTAATTTCTCTTTTCACAAATCCTAAACAAAAATATTTTAAATAATAATAAGAAAATTTTAACATATCAATTTTAAATAGTTTTAAAAGTAAAAATAAAAGAAAAAGTATTTAATAGTAATTTTCATTTTTAAAAATCCTTAAAAAATATTCTTAAAATAAATTATTAATTACTAATTGGCTTTTCTAAAATCCTAAAGAAAATAATTATTGTAAAAGATTATTTGATAGTAATTTTCGTTTAAAATTTTTATATATGTTAAAATTAATCATGATTAACAAAATCTATATAATAAGAGAATGAAAGCGATTTTAAAAATTTTAGAAATTATTTAATAGCAATATCTCTAAACCATTTTCTTTTAAACAGTTTTAATAAAAAAGATTTGCAAAATCCTGAAGAAATGGAAATTGGAAAACATATTTGATAGTAATTATCATTTTTAAAATTATGAACATAAACTAATTATAAAACAATCTTTAATAGTATTTTTTCTTTTTTCAAATCCTAAACAAATAATTTTTGTAGAATAATTATTTCAAATATTTTTTATGTTCTTTTATGGTTAAACTGGTGATGATTTTTATTGTTGTCATATTTGTCATCTTGTAGTACGTTTGTTATTGCAATAGTTATACTTAGGTGTTTTTGTATAGTATTTTGATATTGTATATGTAAGTTAATGTGTCTATTATTCTTATGTGTGTTTGTTTTTATCGATACTATAAAATTATTTATGATGTTGTAGGTAAGTCAATGTTAATGTCAATTTGTTATCTTTATGTACCATTGTGGTTGTGCATTATTTTTAAATTATTTAATTAAAAAAAACTAACTGTAAAAATAGTAGTGATACGAATTGTAAAATAGTAGTTTCAAAATCATTTAATAGTATTGAAATAATTATTTGATAATAATCTAATTTTTGGAAATTCTAAATATGAGATAATTGTAAATGATTGTATGATAGTAATCTTTATTTTCTAAAATCTTAAACAAAATGTAAAATAGTATTTGATTTTAAGTTATAAATAAAAGACTTTATAGAATATAATGTTTTCTTTTTAAAATCATAAGAAAAGGAAAATTTAAAAAAAATATTTAACAGTAACTTAAAACAAAAATATTTTGATGATAAATATGATACTCAAACAATTCAATTAACAAAAGAAAAAAAAAAGAATTTGTCATGATTAGTCTTTATATTGGTTTTTGTATGTGTTTGGTCATACAAAAATCAAACACATGTTTGGTATTTTTGTTTTTAGTGATAAAAATAGATTATTATTATTATTATCACCTTAAATGATCTTTATATGTATTTAGTCAAAATTAAATCAAGTTTTATCGTCATCTTATTACATTTGTGTTTTAATATATAGTATTTATAATTCAGTTTATATTAAAATCTTAGTATGAAAATATATCATTAAAATGAATTTCGAAAATTATTTAATAATAGACAACTTTAATAAAACGGTTTTATTGTTAGTTGGAAATGAAAACAAGTTATTCGAAAATAACTATAAATTAAGTACACATAGGAAAAGTTATATATTCAAAAACTGGAAAAAACTAAAGATTTTTTTTAAAATACTATAACTTAAATACCATTTTAATACTACATAAAAAGCGTATAGCATGTGAATTATGATTTAATGTTTAGAGTTTAATATTTAAGGGATGAAATTAAATTTATAAAATTATATAAAAATTTCAAATGATATATATGATATTAAATGTCATATAGTTAAAATGAAATTAGAAGAACTTCTTAATTAACTCTAAGATCGTTTTCTTTAACCTTATTAGAATATATAATAAAATAATTTATTTATTTATTTAAGGATTTATCATCACAAAGTTATAGTTTTGTCTTAAAAACTATGGTTAAAAATTATGTTTTATTATAAACGGTTATTCACACAATCGTTATTTAGAGTCTTCAACATGCACATAAATTTTTGTGGCCATATGATACATGTATTGATGGTTTTATTATCACTAATTACATGATAAAATTGATGATCAAAATTATTTCTATGGTTGAATAATTAAAAATTCAAAATCACGTAACCAAAAAATATTGATGGTCATAAATGCATAAAAATTAAAAAAAATCTTATATTGACAATAAAAAATTCACTAAAATGACTAATAAACATCAGAATATATTTAAACAACAAGAAACAAACATTTGGTACATAACAAGTGTATGATATGTGTATGATATTGTCATTAACTTGATTGACCTTATTTAACTTTTAATTTTTTGACTCTAATTTTTAATTTTAATTAGTTTTGGTTTAAAATTTTAGATATAAAGTTAAAAACAATTCACTTATGTGCCATGATTATTAAAATAAAAATATTAACAATAATTTATATGGGTAAACAAATTTAAATTCTGAAATATCTCACACAACATATACAAAATAATCCTAAAATATAAAATATTTTATTATTTTATGTTCTTTGTAAAATTTAAACATCAAATACAATATGTGTTGATTAAAATACAAATACTAACCAGAATTTTATGGAAAAAAAATTATTTATTTCTAAAATAAATTTCACAGAACATATGAAAAACAAATCCTCAAACTATAACATAATTATTAATTTATATATTTTATAGATATAAAAGCATTAAATAAAACTCGTGCAACACACGGACCCATATCTAGTAATTAAATGAAAAGCAATAATAGAAAGATATTCCTTTTAACTTTTATCTGCAATCTTTAAAATTATCAATCATGCTTTAAGTAAAAATTTTAAAGCTACAGCTAAGAATAATAATTAAAATGACTGTAAACTCTTTATTTACTAAATCAATATTTTGTGTTGTTGGAAAACTATAAGGCGGTAGAAATATATTCTCAGATATTTACCTTTTCTATTTAATTTTATAACTATAGTCGATATCCCTACAACAAAAAAACTGTACAGATTAAATCATACATCACATACTTTAAAGCTACAACCGGACAAGTCACTTCCAATGCTTTAAAAAGATGTTTGCTACAATCATTTTTTTATTTTTGACATTACTTTTAAAAATTAGATAAAGCATAATTTACAATTTTATGGTTGTAAATAGATTTAAGCTAAATTCAGTTGTTAACTAATCACCCTTACCTTTTTTGCAATGTTTCTATAATTATCATAAATTATTAGATGGTATTTATTAAAATGATATAATAAAATCTTTCACAAAACAGAAAAACACACATTTGTTGGAATAAAACTAAAGATCATTACAAATGAATAATGTCAAATATTTTGCGATTCTCCTCATGACTTTATAAATCTAATCACGGATCTTTTATTTTTGCTAAAGGGCTTTTTCTAATCACGGATCTTGAAGAACTCTGTTTGCGGATCGCAGCCGATTCGCTGTGATAAGGCCTTCTCCACGACCCAATTAAACCCGATGATTTCTTATGAATCTCCTTGTCATCCCAAATGGTGATATGACTCATTTGGCTGATGTAAGCCAGTGCTTTTTTCTTGTTTTCCCTATCCCAAATGTGCCAGACAAGAACCAAAAATGGAAAACCTAAGACCCACTTACCAGTCTTGAAAAATTTCACATCCGGAAAAATCAGAGGAGCTATGATATAACTAAAGACAGAACTTGCCCAAAGAGCAGAAGCAACATCAACATCAGACATTGGTTTCTCCAGGGGCATGCCTAGATGTCTCCTAACTTCCAGAACTATAGACTTTACCAGAATTTTTCTGCGGAAAAAAAAAGAGTTAAGAAGAAAAGCCTTTAGTGTTCTTTTTTGTTTTGTTTTGGATGTGTTGATACAAGAAGAATCATCAGAAACAATCAATTAATATAACTACCCGTATACATTTGTGGAAAAGCCCACTCTTTCTGTTACAGACTTCAGGGCAAGCTCCCATCTGTTGACCAGGTTGGGATTATTTGCGTGCTTCTCCTTCATTTTCTTGAAAAGAACAGTGAACTCTTCTTCTTCCCCTTCGAAATCGGCTTCTCTATCAAGGTTGCCTGCTCTTTTCACATCATGAGATGTTACATTATAGAAGATTGGTATCACCACGAGTTTACCTTCTTGCATTTCGTCGTTCATCTTGGCAAGCTCATTCAAACACCACTTAGACTCACAATACCTCTTGGAGAAAACCGCAAGTGCGATTTTAGAGTTCTCGATCCTTGTGAAAAGAGTTTTTAATTTCCTCCCCTTCAACTCATGGAGATCTATAAAAACATTGATATCTCCCTCTCTTAAGGCCCTTACGAGTTGATTCACGAAGTTGTCTCTGAGTTCATCTCCACGGAAATTGATGAACACCTGCGGGGGGCGTACACGTCTTTTAGCCTTCACAGTCATTGGAATGGTCTGTGAGTTGCCTGAGAGACAAGAAGAAGAAAAAAATAGCTGTGTTAAGACTTCGCAGTTTTCATTTGTGCCTTATAAAACATCATCCCGCCCATTTTTTATTCATGGCTGAAGTCTCTACGCGTTTCTCAGTCTTTGTTAAATATTTAGGAACCATATCACTCTCTCTAAATCCAGATGTCACGATCGATTCAAGAGTACATATCTTATCGTGGTTTTGACTTTATTAAAATTTAAGAGAACTGACAATGAGTGAGTACGCGAACTATATTACTTATATATGGATTTTTTTTAATTGAACCACTCAAATAAAGCTAAGTCGTAAAATAAACTTTCAACTCAAAATCCTATGAAATAAATTTTCAATTTTAATTCCTACATTCTGTCTAAAATATCTTGACGAAAAGTAACATATGTTAACGGTTTATAAGTTGAGGGGTTAAAATATTAAAATTTAGTTGAGAGATTTTCTTATTATTTAAAATAGTTAAGATTTTTATCACTAAAGATCATTCAATGTTTTAAAATTTTTATAACCGTTTATGAATTGTTTAAAAAATTGATTTATAAACCTTTAAAATTAATTTATAAAATATTATACATGAGTTATTATAAAACTAATTTGTAAATCCTAAATTAATAATTTTCAACACTACTTAAACTTCAAATAACTTAGAAATATTAAGTTATTTGATGTGTGAAAAGGTGATATAAGAAATTTGTGTCTCATATTGCCAATTGAGAGACGTTTAGCCAGAGAGACTCCCATCTCTTTGAGAGGACGCTTGTTTTTACAGAATCGATGATTGGGAGGTGGGAGAGTATCTGAGTTAGTAATGATCTGGTAATTCGCTGATTCTATCGGAAGTCATGGCTAGAGAATGGTGGAATCTGAGTTTTTTTCAGTTTGATTAAGAATCAGTTTCTGTAAAAGTAGAAATCAAAGGTTAATTAATTTGAGGGCGAGATAACGCCGGAGATTTGGCTTTAGGGAGTTTGGGAAAGTAATTTTTGGTTCTAATTTCCAGAAAACAAACCTTTTTCAGCTTTTCGTTTATTCGCTGATCAATTTGTTAGGTGACCAGTGTTTCTTATTTCATTCCCTGATCAATTTCTTAGCTGACCAATTCTTCATATATATTTTTTTGTTTGAAAAAGGCATACCAATTCTTCAAATTTTGTTAAATAAATATAAGTATGTTAATCAAGTATACCTCTATGTTAATATTAACAAAAAAATTAGGGGTTTTTGCCAAAACTAACCTACAACTTGGTTTAAACCCCAATACTAGACCCAAATTTGAATCAAATGCAAATCTAACCTAAAAGGGGTATGAAATTACAGTATAGTCCTTTGTGACCAAACAAAAAAACAGAAGACATTTTTACGAATTTAGCCCCTGTAAGTTGTCTGAGTCAGACTGATCTAGTTTTCGGTCGTCTGGACGACTGAAATTAAAGTTGTCTGGACGACTGAATCTTAAAAATAATTTATAAATTTTGTAAAAAATATTTTGATGAGTGAAAAATTAAAAACTTGTAATTATAAACATTTTAAAGTGATATAAATTAAGAAATGATAAAATTGATTTATTTTCAG